TACTTTATTTCAAAAAAAATTATTTCACCAAAGATACTGGATTAATCTGATCTACCTTCACTAAATTCACATTTCATTTTATCCCACTTTCATTTTCTTCCATGTTTTATAAATTATTCTTTCCTTCAACGTTTGTTCTAAAGCCTTGGATGTTAAAGAATACTTACTAAAGTGGATTAAAAAAATAAATAATTGTTTTTAATATGACAGTTATTTCAATAAGGCTATTAAAAAAGCTTTTATGAAGATTTCAATAATCTGTGCCAAGGCCTATATCTATTAAAATAATTACATTAGAAAGGAGCATTCAGGGAGCACATACTGGCTGATGATTCTTTAAAGGAAGTTAGCCCACTGAGCTAGTGGAAGTCTCTGAATAAGCACCTAAAACCAGATTTTGTGGATGTATTAAGCCAGCTTTTCACAACAAACCCCTCTTCTGCAGTCACAAAGAAAATAATTTCTTCACTTAATTTTTTCCAGCCATTTCAATTCAATGACAAGCTCATTCAGAGTTGAAAAACGGAACGAGACCTGAAAAAACAAGAAAGCTTGTTTTCTTCTTCCAATCAAAGTGAAATGTTGGAAACTGAGAACTACCATTTTTAAAACCCTAACAGAAAAGCAGAACAGCAATACACAAGTTGAATTCACAAACTAATACCACCTTTATTAAAAAGCAAATCGTTTTTTAAAATTTACCTTTTCCAGAGTTATCTAGCACTAGCAGTTAATTAAAAATGATGTTTTGTAGATTTTTAATTTAATCCCAATTTCCCTCAAAAACAGCTTGACAAATCACAAGAAGACATCAAGATAATATAATGCCATTTGTCATTTTCTCAAATAATATTTAAAAAAATTAGAATATAAATAAATATACCTTAAGCAGTAAGATGGTATGGCATTTATAAGCCAGTGTGTCCTACTCATTAGCAAAAACACCTAACTCCACAAATGAGATCCAGCCCCTCTTTAGTAAAATACTTAACTGGATACACAATAATTCACTATAAAATGATAACCATGACATAAGAACTACTGACATCTTTATATTAATTACCTGACAGTCAAAAAAGTCCTTTTAACTTATATCCCATATTCTGTTACTACAGACATACTGGAGAACAAATCACCTTTGCAGGAGGTCTGGAAAATTAGCACATCTAGATGATGGTGGCCAGGTGGGTACGAAGATGCAAAGCCCTGCTGGGGAACTTGCATGGAGGAACCCAGCTGTTCCCTTCATTTTTAAGCAGAGAGAACTGCATCTGTAGTGTCACACCAGATGTGATCGCAAGACCAAGGTAAGTCACTTTCAGCAACAAAAAGCTCACAATTCATTCTGGTTTCTCTCAGCCACCTTATTTTTCATTGCAAATAAGAACAATCATTTCATAGATTCACTAGCCTGGCGGGATTCTAATCCTGTCACTTATTTGCCGAGATTGTTCAGAGTTGCGTGTGATCACTTTTTGCAAGGTAGAGGAAGTACCTGAAAGAGTACAGGGAAAAACATGGGTGTTCCCTGGCCTGTTTCAGATACTGAAGTGAACACAGAAATACACTGAACTGCTGTAGTAAAACCTGGACCTCAGACTCCAAAAGTAAAGAGGTTTTCTGTTAAGATCTAAATAGGAAGAGAGTGCTTGTACACCTCACAATATATTTCAAGCAACTCTTATATACATCAGTCAGGTTCATCAACCTACCGAAATAAAACTGGATTTGGATTGTCCTCCACATCTAGGGCCTGTACACAAACACCCTCAAAATAAGGGTTCACTCCCAGTTTAATTACACGCTGCTCTGGAAGCCTAGGAGCTCCTTAGAGACAAGTACCCTCCCTGGCCTTTTCTTTCCTAGGAGGCATTTTACCTTTTGCAAGTACGACTAAGCTCTGTCAAAGAAATGCATCTTATTTATATTTCAGAAGTAAAGTTTGGGGAGTTTTCTTTCCATTTTGAAACATCACTGAAATTGGCACATTTCTCAGAAATGCTCCACTTCAACCAAGAATTTTCCTGCCAATGAAAAACGATCCCTCAAAATTTTCAGGAAGCCTTGCCCATAAGTATGGGACCAGTTTGGAAGTCACTAAACACCACATGTAATTTATACACCTTAAAAACCAAACCTAAATGCTTTGCTTTAATTAATTTTCTGGCTATATAATAGTACATTAGATAGTAAAAACAGTAAGATGCAATGCTGTTCCAGTAGACTCAATTTACTCTACTACTAAAAAGTCTCTGGTAACTGGACTGGTTTCAGAAGCAGATAATGGCCTATTTTCACATGCATTTTCACAACGGCTGAACCTTAGTCAGAAACTTAACAGAAATGTTTATACATGCAAGTCCTTTGACTCTATGCAACTCCACTGCTGTGCAATCACTTGTGAGCCATACTGACATCTCTTTTCATATAGGTAGCCAAAACCCAGATCTGGAGACCTTCAAGCAGCAAATATTTTCCCAGGGTTAGGTTGGGTGGAGAAGGGGAAAAGGGGGGGAAGGGAGGGAGTTCCTTGCAGAGAAGGGGGAGGAGTTACCCCAGTAAGAGATGGAGGGAATGACAAAACTGATTTTTCAGAGGGCCTGTTTAAGAACATAGTTTAAAATTATATGATGTATTTAAAGAATTCAATATGTACATTTACATTATTACAGGCCTCAAGCAAAAAATTACAGTGGAGAGGTGGCGCAACAATGTTTTGTGTGTGACACAGAACACCTGGATGTGCACCTCTAACTTTGATTGCCAAAAGACAAGAGGTCAGAGTCTCAATAAAAGTTGTACTTGGATTAGGTATGTGTAAGAACTGAAGCAGATATGCTGAACTACAGGAAGACCCTCTATTACCCGATTCATATGCAGGCCCCTCAGCTCTTAGGAGCAACCAACACCATAGCGGTTGTTCCTACAGTAAATGACTCTAACAACTGTCAAGCTTTACATCAACACTAAATTGATATTTCTGAGTTGTTGGGGTTTTTTTTAAATTTCCTACACACACAATAATTTGAATAGTAAGTGTTCCAACAGCCACATAAGTGGGATGTGATTTTAAGTATCCAGGTTTGGCTGGTGAGAAGGGTTTGACCTACACACTTAGTCTGCAAGGCACAGGTTAGCAACACTCATTTTTCTCAACACTATTCTGGCAAAATGCTTCAACTGCAAATAGGAAAGCCAGCCTACAAGGTGGAGGCAGCTCACATGCCATGCCAAAATTATTTTCAGGATTTGGATAAAACCAATCTGCCATCTCGAAACAGTACTTCTTGTGACACAGGTATCTGTTTAGCAGGAACTGGACACACGCGTAGCTAACCAAGCTGAAAATTTGTAGTGTCATTCGCAAAAGACAATTTCTTCACTTGCCTCTCTTCTGAAGATAATGATTTTTTTTTTTTAAGGATACCCTTAAAGAAACAACTGTTAAAGTAACTTAACAAAAAGCCTTCCAGCATGCAGCTGAACTAATAGCAGGCAAGTTACAAGACAGACAGAAGTTCTTGCCACTGCTTGGCCACTGTTATAAAGGGCTGTTCAGGCTGTAAAAATTTCAGATTACTAAAAGTTAACATGGTAACTGAAATTTTAACGTGATTAAATAAAAACACATATATGGGAGTTTTTAATCAAACATACTAATTTAACATAAGCCCTTAAATGCCACCAACATAACTTGAGTAAGTACTTGTCCTTTGTCAAAACACCTAACCCACCCAACTCAAGCACTTCTCCCCAACCAAATCCCTAAACTTCATATTTTCTTAGCTCCATGGGGTTTTTTTCCTAACCCTAGCCAGTGAAGTCAGGGAAAAAATACTTCCCTAGACCAAAGAGAGGAGATCGGTTTCTCCTTATTACCTACCATAACTAAAGAAAAGAGCAGCTTACAGCAGTAGTGGCATCTAACTTGATGCCAGTTCCTCTTTAAAGCAAGAACTATGGGAAGGAAATCAAACTGATCACAGTACTATTCCTGCAACAGGTGAACTAAAATGCTTCCTGCAACAGACTAAAACCCTTTGTGATCATATTTTTTACTCAATTCACAATTAAAAAAAAATACAAAAAAGAAAAACCATAACTTGTCCAAAACCCTTAGGAAACTATGTAGAATTAAGAATAAAAAATGGGGTTTTTTTTGTTTGTTTTTTAAATAAGTTTGGTGAAGCCATGTGATGGCATCTGTTGCCTGCACCCACTAAACCCACTAGGAATGAAAACAAACAATATGTTTTAGTAACCTGTGCCTCCTTTCCCCAAAGGCTCCACAAAATGTATAAGGTGTCATAAATTCACAGAAGCAGCCAATCTCCCCACTCCACCTTACTGGCAAACTGGTCAAATGGTAGCGTACCCGTTTTTGCTGCCTATGTCCCAACTGGCTTACTCAAACACACAGCTGGATCGGCACTAAACCCAAGTGCTGCAAACTAGAGCTGTGAACCAAAACCCCCTCAACCGACAAAAACCAATCGAGCGAGAGTTCAAGTTTCAAGCATGCAACACAGAAAGGGGCTTATCAAGGTCTGCTACAGGGGTAAAAAACCCCCACATTTTTTAAATGAAATCGTTGGCAACTCCAAGCACCCAAAAAAAGCTCTGGGGGGTAAAACACAAAAAAACAAAAAAATCCTTATTTTTTAAATGAAAGCAGTGGCAAGTGCAAGTGCTAGAAGAGGCTCCCGCAAACATGCCATGCTTTTAAAAGCCTGGTCCCAGCTTTGCGGCGGCCTCACCTGGAGAAGTTTGCCGGGCGAGTTTCGAGCAGGGGCCCCCTCCCCAAACTGCAGCGAGGCAACCTCCATCTTGGACAATACTTGGGAAGGGGATGGAGAGGAGGGAAGGGGCCGGAGCCAGGAGGGCTGCCCTCCCCGAGGATGCTCCGCCCGCACCTGTGCCCTGCCTCCAGCCCCCGCGATTTGCATGTCTCCCCCCGGGCGCGACGGGCGGCGAGCGGGACCCTCCCTCGTCCCCGCTACCTGGGGTGCTGCTGTAGGTGCTGTGGCTCCTGAAGCTGCTCTCGGTGCAGTAGCTGGCGTCGTCCTCGTCCTCCATCTCCTCGGGGTAGTCGGAGTCGTCGTCGTCCTCGTTCTCCTCCTCCTCCATGATCTCCTCCTCGTCGCCGTCGTCCTCGGACCCCGGGTGCTCCTCGGGGTCGCCCTCCTCCTCGTCCTCCTCGGACCCCGCGCTCTCCTCCTCCTCCTCCTCGCTCTCGTGGTCATCGTACACCACTTTGCTGGCGCTCCTGCGGGACGAGGCAGCCCGGCCTCCTCCTCCTCCTGCCGCCGCCGCCCTGCCCCTGCCCCGGCTCGGGGGGC